GGAGAGTATACAAGTCAGACCATTGTGGCAGATTTTGCATGACTAATTGCTTAATATTATTTGGACTGTGGCCTTGCATTGATGTGGCTACCCATGGAAAGTTTTGAAGTTTTGGTTACTGAACAGTTATATCGACTAAGATTAATACAGGTTTCTTGGTAAGAATATTAAGTTATTAACGTCTAATTTTGAAGGTTTATTTTAGGCATCATAGGTTGCTCTCCAATAACAATCAGTTAGTGTTTTCTGTGCCATAATGTTTATCTTTTTTTTACGTCTAGTGTATTATGATAGGTGCTACATGCAAACTTCTCATTTTTCCTTATATAATGAATTTTAATGTTCAGTATTTGATCATGTCTAGGAAGGAAAAAATTGGTGTTGATCGGTTCTCTCTCAGACAAGCTGTGATATTCATTTGTGCTACCAATAGGCCAGATGAACTAGACCATGAATTTGTTCGACCTGGGCGTATTGACCGTCGACTGTATGTTGGTTTGCCTGATGCTAAGCAACGAGTACAAATTTTTGGTGTGCACAGTGCAGGAAAGCAACTTGCAGAAGATGTAGACTTTGGGAAAGTAAGTGGTTGATGTTTCTTGTTTTGCATTATTCCTTCAAAGTCATGCTTAAGAAGTTGAATTTTCTGCAATTAGTCATGGTATTTGACATTATTTAAAGCTAACCATTCAACAATGAGCATATGAATTGGTTCCTCTCTCTCTCTCTCTCTCTCTCATTGTCTTCTTTATTGTTGTACGACTGTTCTTGTTCATTGATTTTCACCAATATGAATGGTGGAAAACACTCTTGACTTTTGAACCATGAGCGACTGTTGAAATTTACACATACGGATTCCCAAAGAAACACAATGTTTGATCACCTCAATGCATATTTTCTTTTATACTTGCGTGAGTTGGTTAAGTAGGGAGATATATGGTTGTCTTTCAGATATCTTGCAGATATAGTGCTTGTTTTGTCTGTTGGTTCTCTATGCTGTGGTACTTTATTTTGGTAATTGGTGCTTTCTTTATTGTTCATATTATTTGAGAAAATATATTTGGCGTTTGGCTGTATATTGTCTCTTCCACTTTAAAGATTCATATATATTATGTTAAGTGTCTTGTATCCAGTGATGATTTCGTCTCTAGGTTTGGTTCTTTTTATTTTGGTAATTGGTGCTTACCTTTTGCTGTTTATATAGTAGGGATGGAAATCTAACTTGGTTTTGTGCTACTGTTTGTCTCCTCTTTCTTCCACTTCAGCTTGTCTTCCGTACTGTTGGTTTTTCTGGGGCAGATATTCGGAACCTTGTCAATGAAGCAGCAATTATGTCAGTAAGTAAAACTTACAAACATACAAAGTTGCTTAATAAGCTTTATATTTGTATGACTTTTCTCTTGAAATAGGATCCTTAAGTAAATATGGATGCTTTGGCCCTTGGAAAAATAATATGCTTCCTTATTCAACTTTCGGTAGTAACTATGGTGACGTTACTGTTCTTGGTGAACGGTTATATTAGGTGAAGGGTGCTTTTGCTATGTACTGGGATCTCAATTTAAAAAATATTCAGGGTCATATAGGAGTAAGGGTTGAGGAATTATGGGATAGAATTAAATTTTGGGCATCTCTTTGGGCTTCGGTTTCGGGGCAGTTCAAGGACTATCATTACTCTACCATCATGAGAGACATGATGGCAGTCCTAAGATGATTTTACAGAAGTTTGTGTTTTTTGTGTTTTTTAATTACAGAATTATTTTCAATCTTAGTAGGTCAGACACTTTATTTTTGGTCTTGTTGTTTGATTGAGGATTTTTCCTCTTGATTATCAATACAATGTTTCTATTAAAAAAAAATAAAAATAAAAAATTTAAGTGATGTTTCACATGATATGTAACTTTCAACTACTTTTAATTTTTTATCTTGAAAAGAAAGTTTCTCATGCATTTTTTGCAATCTAGTGTTGCTGAACAGTTCTCTCAAGTTTCTTTGCATGTTGTTTTCTACCCTTCATTTTTCAGGTGAGGAAAGGGCATTCAAAGATCTTCCAGCAAGACATTGTTGATGTATTAGATAAACAATTGCTTGAGGGTATGGGTGTACTCCTTACTGAAGAAGAGCAGCAGAAATGCGAACAAAGTGTATGTCCATGTTGGTTGTTCTTTGGTGTTTCTTGTGGAGTGACAAATGTTATATAATACTTAATTTAGTGATTGAGTTGTATATAATTACATCATAGGTGTCTTCGGAAAAGAAGAAACTGCTGGCTGTTCATGAAGCTGGTCACATAGTATTAGCTCATCTGTTTCCTCAATTTGATTGGCATGCATTTTCTCAGCTTCTGCCTGGTGGTAAGGTACAAATTCTGGTGATAAAAACAATCATTGGTGGATGCTATTGAAATTCTGTGGGAGTTGCTCTCTGACGAAGCTCATTTGTAATATGAACAGGAAACTGCAATATCTGTGTTCTTCCCCCGAGAAGATATGGTAGACCAAGGTTATACAACCTTTGGCTACATGATGATGCAAATGGTGGTAGCTCATGGTGGGCGTTGTGCTGAGCGTGTCGTGTTTGGTGATGACATAACTGATGGAGGAAGGGACGATTTGGAAAAGATAACAAAGGTAATCACAGTTACTTTCATATGATATAAATTTACAGAATTTATTCTCTGGAAGAAAAATAAATGAAAGTGCAATTAGCTCAAAGTTGTACAAATAAATTGCCCATTTAGCAATATACTTATTTGCTTTAAAGTTTATGTGATCTAAGGTGTTTTCATTTATTTTAGGCAATGAAAGTGTGTTCAGCTCATTTCCTTTTTATCGCTCTCCTTCTTCATATCAGGCAAAGTTATTGATACAGACAACCATGGTTTTTAGGGGGGCTTAAATTTTAAAAATTTGAATGTGTTTATATTTAATAATAGGCAGTATAGTATGCATGTAAGTAAACACAGTCTTTCTTTCTGTGTTGTAATCTCTGTGATGAACATTCCTTGTTTAAATGCACAGTGCATTTTAATCTCATAAGGAACATGAGTTTTCACCAGATTTGTCTTAATTATGAATCTTGACCTTCCGAACAATTTCACAAATGTTTCCTAGTAGATCACCAAGGCCATATTAGTAGCAGTTAATACACAATTTGGTATATCCGTTTCCTCAATTAAGTAATCTCTTCAGATTGCTCGAGAGATGGTAATCAGCCCTCAAAATTCAAGGTTGGGGCTTACAGCTTTAACAAAGAGAGTTGGACTTGTGGATCGACCAGATAGTCCAGATGGCGAGTTAATAAGATACAGGGTAATCTTATTTCTCTTTACTTGCAAATATCTACAAAAATATGCTGTGAACCTCCATCATTTTTATTTTTTGATTTGATTATCTTCATCAACTAATTCTTCTTATCTTTCTTCATGATGTTAGTGGGATGACCCTCATGTTATTCCAGCCAATATGACTCTTGAAGTGTCTGAGCTATTTACTCGAGAGTTGACAAGGGTAATTTAATTTGCTTAACTTTTTATCATTTTTCATGCTATCCGGAAAGGACACTAGTGAATGTTAGTGGTTGTGTTGAAGCTAGTTGTTTACTTTGATTTGGCTTAGGAAATGCCTTGGTATAAATAATTGAGGCAGGATCATTATGTATTCAGTCCCCATGTGCTTATGGGTGCACAATGACATGACAAATTAGATGATAACACTTCGTGAGTGTTTGGTGTTTGTTGCAGTACATTGAAGAAACAGAAGAACTCGCAATGAATGGTTTGAAGAACAATAGGCACATATTGGACCTGATTACGGAGGAACTATTAGAGAAGTCGAGGATTACTGGTTTGGTACGTTATAAAACATCCTTCTCTTATTGCATTCTCTCTGTAATGTTGATTTGATAACAATTATCTTCATATCTAATGAAATTCTTGCACTGAACTTGTTAGATGTGTGTTCTCACAATCTTGTCTTCCTATTTATAGGAGGTAGAGGAGAAAATGAAGGACCTTTCTCCAGTGATGTTCGAAGATTTTGTAAAACCATTTCAGATAAACTTGGAAGAGGTATTCATTTCAATAGTTGTTAAGCTGGTAGATATCCATTTAAGCTTTACAATTTCATTGATTTCGTAGGGACGGTTTGCTCTGAATATAGCTTTCTCAATGGTTTTCTTTTGTTATAATATTTGTTTCTCTGTGTAGCTTTCTTCCTCCTGTTAAAGCGGCTTTTGGAAGATAAGTTTCTTTTGAATGAATTCCAACTTACGTGTGTTATTTGGCTAATTTTTAGGATGGACCGTTGCCACATAATGATCAGTTGCGATATCAGCCGCTGGACATATATCCTGCACCACTGCATAGATGTTAAAATATTGCTGAAACTCATCAGCTCATTGCTGGTCAAATCTTTAGCTTTTGTCATGGTGCATGGGAAGTCTGAGAAACTATGCTAGATAGTTTCCTCTGAAAGCCAAGCTACCTGGGTGTCCACGACTCTGTTGGTTAAATTTCCAGCAGAGATGGCAGTGACATTGCATATCAGGGTTTTCCATCTGCCCCAAAAGTCGACTTTGTTGAAGCTCCTGATACCTATAAACGGCTGAGCCTCAAATATTGCTAGCTAAAGAGACAACAATCGCCTGTTAAAGCAAGATGTGGACTATGTAAAAGGATGGTTATGTGTTTTGAAACGAGCCTAAGTTGGAGTTTATTAGAGAGAGAATATTAGGCTCGGCTGGTACTTCGCGTCAATTTTGTATTTGATAGTTCTTTCTTTTCTTTTCCTGCTCAAATATATCATTCATTTTTCAAATATTGCAAACTCAGAAAGCATAACCAAAATTTATTTTGTAAGGATGTAAGCTACACCATATATAAAATAGGTTCAGAAATTTCAGGAGCATTCAAAATTTTGAGCTTCTATTGAATTTTCCCTTTTTTATTTTATTATTAATATATTTATTTATTTTTTATAGCTTTTGCTTCATTTGCGACAGCAAGCCTCAAGTCACTGTCATGGCACCTTTCATGTTTACGCAGCTTAAATTGATGGAAAAATCAAAATTAATAATCCCATGAAGATTTTATTATTACCTTTCCAAACTTATTAAGATATAACATAAACACAAAATAAGCATGCTAACAACTTGGCACACGCAAAGGGCCTACTAGTGCAGTGGTTTGGAGCAATTGATCCCTTAAACAAGGTTCTGGGTTCGAGTCTTAGCATCTATGTAACGTGTGTGAGTTTAGCATATTATTGCCCCTCAATAGGAAAGTTCCTCCAAAAAAAAAAATGATCATGTACTTATTCTATGCCTTACAACTTGCTCCTTGGAACCCCTACTGGTGCATCTCTAGATCTCTTTTCTACTGATCGTGAAAGCTGCTTCACCGCATCTTTTGGCAGATGGCGAGGCCGGCTCAGCCAAAGTCCTCCATCAGCTATAATGACAGTTCCATTTATAAATTTCCCTGCAAAATTTATAATGATGGATAAGTTTCCAACAAAACAAAGGGAAAAAGAGAAGGGTAACAAAACTGGTTCAATGATTTGTTTCTACTATTTCCTATTGACTTAAGTTGCGTATGCATGCTCTATTCCACCAAAAGAATAATAGGACCGTGATGGCACTAAAAAGTTGAAGCATCAATCAGGAGACAATGTGTACAAAATAGTCCAAAATCAGATGCATATGGAACACGTACAGATTCTTGCATTATCTCAAACTATCATTTTATCTGGTTTCGGCATGAAAATTTATGATTATGCAAGAGGTACCGTACAAATATGGCGATGATACAAAATTGCATGCAAGGGTTACCCAACCTGCATCCGAAGCAAGGTAAAGGGCGGCCATAGCAATATCCCATTTGTCCCCTAGTTTATACAAAGGCATGTAATCTCTAGCTTTGCTATTTATCTCCGAAGGTGCAAGTTTACTCATGCCAGGCGTATCATCAATGGGGCCTGGAGCTATTCCATTCACCCTAATGTCATAGTCAGCTCCCCACTCCAATGCCAAGTTTCTTGTAGTGGCATCAATCGCTGCCTGTTGGAAAGGAATACTTCAATAAGTTTATCACAAAAATAAGATATAACAACTGAAAACCTAACAAACAAACCTTCGCAGCTGATACATGGACTTGATACCAAGAAGCTGTATAATGTAAAGTAGCACTGATGTTCAATATTGTTCCACCACCAGATGACCTCCTTCCTGGTCCTCCTTTTTTAAGATACTTGAGTGCTTCGTAGCACATTGTGAATGTTCCAACAGCATCAATATCCATAACTGCAGGGAAGAGATGAAATCAATGGTTTTTTGTTTTTGGGTCAAAATCTGGAAGTACCTATAACATGAATATGTTTTGAACACCAAAGATAATCAACTTTTTTGTTTATTCTTCAGCGATCTAGTGAAAAACCTCAATACTATGACTTTAAGTAGTCACTGATTACCTCAGAAAATCAACTATTGATCTGACAATGAATCCCATTTTACTGTTATTACTCTCTATTCTCCTATTTCAATTGAGTTAAAAGGCTAAGACACCTGGATCTTATCATAAAAAAGTAGATCAGTTCATAAGTTATGGA